CTCCTGGTGGAAGCATTCCTCCAAACACTGGGATTTTGAGCGGAAAAACTGCCGTTTCCACCCTTGATGTTCTGATCCATAAACCCTGACTGTGGGCTGAACAGCACTCTATGTTAATCACTGATTTAGAGCACACACCATATCCTGGGGTCAGTACTGAAATGGAGACTTCAAAAGCCATTCCAACAGCTTGTCAGGTCTGCTGTCTTAAGCCACCTACCTGGCTACTTTGGGCTTCTCATTTCAGTAAATGAACAGACAGAGAGGAGGGTTACTGTGAATGTTGGGGTTGGTTAGCTCTGATTGTCAAGAAAAAAACTGGGTTGTTATTATTATGCAAGACGAGTAAGGAAAGTATATGTCTGGATGCAAGAAGTTCCTAGATTGTGTCAGCAGTCCCACGCTCTGTGATTAAAGCCAATGGAGGCTGGGCACGGTAGCTCAGTCCTGTAATCCCAGCACTTTAGGAGACCGAGGTGAGGGGATTGCCTGAGCCCACAGGTTCCAGAACAGTCTGGGCCAATTGGCAAGACCTCATCTCTACAATAAATCAAAAAATTAGCCGGACATCATAACAAACATGCACCTGTAGTTCCAGCTACTTGGAAGACTGAGGTAGAAGGATCGCCTGAGCCCAGCAGGTTGACGCTGGGGTGGCCGTGAGCATGCCACTGCACTCCAGCCTGGGTGATGGAGTGAGACTCCAACTCAAAAAAAAAAAGTCAATGGAAAACTAAAAAGACCCAATACAGGCAAGACGCCAATGCCTCTGAGCTTTCAGAATGAAGGTCTGAGCCACCTGGACGGGCAACCAGAGGGCAGAGAGAGCAGGGAACGAAAAAGTTCATGATAAATACTCCTTATGACCATGTGGTCCTACAGGAAGAAGGACTAAAATAATGATGAGTATTGCCTTCTTACTTTACCCTAAGTGGAAACATGGCAAGTCCAGTGGACTCGAAGAACGTGACGCCATGGCTATGCTGCATTTGCTGTCTAAGAATTCCTTAGAAGCAGTGCTGAGGGACACCATCACGGCAGACAAGGCATCCAGGAAGCCCATCGATGCTAGGTGGCAAAAGAATTAAGGGCATTAAAGGGTAGGAAAGACACATTCAAAGTGGAGCACTGCCCATTTTGATGACTGACATAGTGCTGTGTGATCAGCTCACTACCAGCGTCTGCAGACTTTCCTGGGAATGGTGCCATGTCAGTGTTGATCTCTACTCATGGTGGGCGGGACATTCAGCAGTGCAGCGGCTATGACCGGATGGGCTTTCATGAGGAGTAACCTATGTTGCTAAGCCATGAAGAGCTTCCATCTTTGCTGCCGTGACAACCTTGTGAGCCCATTGGTCAAGGACAGTAGTGGCTGAGGACAGATTAACTGGTGTCCACAGGCTGCATCATCAAGCTCCTTAAGACACAAATATCTTCACACTCAGTGCCCATCCTTGCGGGGGTCTATGCACCTACACTTTCTCCAGAGTCCTCAGTCACCCAGTTTTCTTTTTCTTTTCTTTTCTTTTTTTTTTGAGTTGGAGTCTCACTCTGTCGCCGAGGCTGGAGTGCAGTGGCACATTCACGGCCACCGCAGCCTCAACCTGCTGGGCTCCGGCGATCCTTCCACCTCAGCCTTCTAAGTTGCTGGAACTGCAGGTGTGTGCTACCACGACCGGCTAATTTTTTTATTTATTATAGAGACGAGGTCTCGCCAAGTTGTCCAGGCAATCCTCTCGTCTCCATCTCCCAAAGTGCTGGGATTACAGACGTGAGCCACTGTACCCAGCTCCAGTCACCAGTTTTCTAATCATGTTCCTTCCAAGTCCTTTACCATTTAGCTGACCATGAGCCACTGCCCAGGGATCCATGCAGATTCATACTGTGGACAGCTCCTCCTTCCAGGAAAAATGTACAGCTGGCTTGATGCTCCATCTGAAACCCTGCTCAAAGTTCTGTTCACTGGAAGGGCTTTTCTCCACCCTGATCTTCAGGGCCTCTCTAGATTGGGAAACAGCTTTGCTAGAGCTTTTATAGGAGCTGATTAAATCGTACATTGGAGGCTTCTGGTGCAGGAGCCCGAAGGCTGCAGAAAAGGCAGCTGAGAAGGAAAGATGGGAGTCAAGAGGTACAGGGGAAATCAGAACCCGAGGGCAAGAGTTGGAGCCCATAGGGATAATCTGGATGCCCCAGCAAGCCAGTCTCTCCCTCCTCCAAGCCAAAAGCCAACTAGGAACTGGCAAAGTGTGTCCCCCACAACTGCAGACCAACAGTCGAGTCGCAGGTAGCCCGAGCTTGCGGTGGCACCTGGTGCTTTGCACAGACCCCCCTGAGCACAGAGAACATGGCCGCTGCTTCTCCCCTGCCTTCAGATTCTCATGCAGTTTGTCTCTTGTGGGGCGCACTGACCCGGCGCTGGGAAAGGAGGTGTCTTTTCAGCTTAGTGAAGTCGACACAACATAAACCCACTGTCCACTGATGAACTCTGCTGAGTTCTGTTCTGGGTAGGGGTGAGCGGGCTAAGGCAGGCACTGTCCTCTGGGAGTGGACAGCTGGGGCTGTGGAAGGTGGAGAGAGAGAGAGAAGCAGGCTCGATAAGCAGAAAAGCAGTGCCGCCTTGCTGTGGCCGTTCCCAGGTCAAGCTCTGAAGGTGCTTCACGTCTATGCTGTATTTTGCTTCCCATGTAGAGTTTTAGTCATGGGAATAAATATTTACTCTGCATTGCGTAATGGATGTCTGTCACCACTGGGAGGTTGTTGGCTAGTCTTGTTGCTGGTGTAGTGACCTCTGAGAGTTTTCCTTTCCCCCATCTTGTCTTTTTAGTTTTCTCTTTCTAATATGCTTTTTTAGAAGCATTTAGACGAGGCACTAAGCCAGGACCTGGCCACAGGGCCCAGTTGTTGACTTGTCTCTGTGTAGGAGCATGTGAACTTTCTTAGGGAAATCACACTGACTCTTGCACGAAGTAGTTTTATGACTTCATTCAATTTGACTCCTTATTTCTGTTTTCCTCATCTCTAAAATGTAGGAATTATCCGGGAGGATCACAAACACACCTTTCGATCTCAGCATTGTATGAGCTTGCGATTCCTCCTCAGTTAGGAACAGAATTAAATCCAAGAGAGAAGCATCTGCCTTTAACAGGCTCTATCTCGTATTTCAGAATGCATCATCAGGCTGACTGCATGGAATCTCGGGCATCTGTAACAATGGACACATTGTTCCTCTAGATTTTCACAGAACTGAGAGTGGAATCGATGACCTTATAATGTGTATAATTATGATTACATTATTTAATTACTCTTGTCTGGTGAGGTTCATAAAAGAATGGAAAGAAATTCCTCCCCCGGCCCCCACGCCACACACATGAGCACATGTGGTAAAGCTTCAAGCTGACCTTCGCAATGGATACATCTGCAGACTGTGGCTTAATTGTTTTCCTCCAAGCATTGTAAAATAGGATTAATTCAAAGAAAATTAAGCTAATGATTTAATCAATGTAATTGCTTGGATAGTAATGAAACATAATTACTATAAAAATAAATGGAGCAGAGGATTAAAGCCATGAAAGAAATGTATGACATAATTTGTCATTTTATTTTTAAGCTCTTTAAAAAATAAGTATGTATTAGGCCAGTTTGTTATCGTGACAGTCTGGGTAAAAATATACTGTTACAATGACAATTTAATTTGTAGCTGAATTTCATAGATTCTAGATATTTTTAAAGTAATAAGCATTCTGAGTTTAAAATTTACTAAAATATGTTCATTTAGGAATTTAAATATTTCATTGGTAATTGATAGTAATCTGTGGGAAAAATAAATCTGCCCTTGTAACTTTAATATGGACTAATGTGACACATTTTTAAAGAATTTGCTTTTATGTCAGTTTATCTGAAATTTCTACTTACCTGGCACAAACTTTACCTTACTTTCATCATGACTGCTATTTTACTTCTTTTTTGCAATAATTTTCTTGGAGGAATAGAATTAATCAAATAGGCCCTTCAAATACAAGGGCTGTTTTATTTCAAATGTTGGAAGGTGACAGTGTATGAGGGGGGATCCCAAAAATGGAATTTATTTATTTAAAACTTGTGTATTTATTCTCACACGTGTAAACTTGAGTCACCGTCAAAGTACTGTCCATTTGATGCAGTACACCTACTGAGACACTTTTTCTACTGCTCAAAACAGTTGTTTTCTTCTTCTTTTTTCCCTTTGATTTTTAGTTGAGACATAGTAATTGTACATATTTATGGAATTCAGAATGATCTTATAATATATGTAGGCAATGTGTAATGACCAAATGAAGATAATTGGCATATTGATCATCTCAAATATTTATCATTTCTTTACGTTGTGAACATTCAGTGAACATTCAAAATTCCGCCTCCTGGCTTTTTCAGAATATGCACTCCATTTTTGTTAGCCATATTCACTATACCGTGCTACAGACCCTTAGAATTTATGCCTCCCAGTTAGCTGTCCTTTTGTATCCGTTAACCAACCGGTTTCTCGCTTCTCCCCCTCGATGCTCTCCTTATCAGTCTCTAATATCTACAGAGCTGCTTTCTACTTCTTTTAAAACGGTGTTTTAGAGCTGGGGGTGCAAGTGAGGACTTGCCGTACGAGCAGGCTGCTCCCAGGTGGAGTTTGGGTCTCCAGCCGACTGTCTCCCCTTGGTAGTGGGCCAGGCGCCTACTGCATGGCCACACGCGCCGCCCTCCTTCCCTCACTGCTCCGGTCGGGTTTGGCCCGCTTCCCCTTGGATGGCTTGCAGGGCTTCTGCTGTTTTTTGTCTCACGTCTCCCACACCAGCCACGCCTTTCCCCGCCAGTGCGCTTTCTCGTCGGGGACGCAGGCAAGTCGCCAGAGGTGAGACGGGACGCAGGGCGGGCGGGGCTTGGGTCCCTGCCGTCTGGGCCCGAGGTCCCTGGTGGCGCCAGGTCCTCGAGCCGCGGCAGCCGCTCTTCTCCACCATCCGTGGAGGAAGCCCATGCAGTCAGTGCAGAGCCGCTCTCAGCTGTGCTCTGCACGCCCGTCTCTTCCAGGAAACGTCTTTGTGGTGAGCCTGGCGGTCGCAGACCTGGTGGTGGCCGTCTACCCGTTCCCGCTGGTGCTGACGTCCATCTTCAACAACGGGTGGGGCCTGGGGCCCCTGCACTGCCAGCTGAGCGCCTTCCTGATGGGCCTGAGCGTCATCGGCTCGGTGTTCAGCATCACCGGCATCGCCGTGAACCGCTACTGCTACGTCTGCCACAGCCTCAAGTACGACAGGCTGTACAGCGGCAGGAACTCCCTCTGCTGCGTGCTCCTCATCTGGGCGCTGACCCTCGTGGCCGTCGTGCCCAGCCTGCACGCCGGGACGCTGCGGTATGACCCCCGGATCTACTCCTGCACGTTCGCCCAGTCGGTCAGCGCAGCCTACACCGCAGCGGTGGTGGTCTTTCACTTCGTGGTCCCGATGGCCATCGTCGCCTTCTGCTACCTGAGAATATGGGTCCTGGTTCTTCAGGTCAGGCGGAGGGCGAAACCCCACAGCAGGCCCAAACGGAAACCGCAGGATTTCAGGAATTTTGTCACCATGTTTGTGGTGTTTGTGCTCTTTGCCATCTGCTGGGCTCCTCTGAACTTCATAGGTCTGGCCGTGGCCTGGGACCCGGTTAACGTGGCGCCCCGGATCCCCGAATGGCTGTTTGTGGCAAGTTACTACATGGCGTATTTCAACAGCTGCCTCAATGCCATTATATACGGGCTGCTGAACCAGAACTTCAGGAACGAGTACAGGAGAATCCTCGTCTCCCTGTGCACAGCTAAGATTTTCTCTGTGGACAGCTCTAACCACGTAGCAGACAGGGTTAAATGCAAGCCCTCTCCGTTGATGGCCAACAATAATCTAGTAAAGGTGGACTCCGTTTAAAAACCAAAGCATTCCTGGAAAAAGACACACCCTGCTCACGCTCACTCCTTTTCGTGTTTGCTTTCCTGTTGACAGATATCTAGAAAGGCAGAGTGGTTGAGGAAACTTCAGGCTCCTACTCGGTTGCCTCTGTAGTTTCTGACTAATGTGCTGTCGGCTTCATGAGCAAGACTCTAGTTCTGTTGATAAAGAGAAATACAGAATATCTCGAGAGTTACATGTTAACTGAATAATACGATTCGGGGACAGGCGGCTAAAGAAAAACACCAAATGCATTCAAGTGGAGAAAGATTGTGCAGGCCTTTATTGTAAATGAGAGCTGCAAAAGGGATGATGATAACGCCCTCAACCTTCTGAAGATTTTCAGTAGGAAAATAAATACAGTTATTTTATGGATAGATGAGTACGTGGAGCAAAATTTATTTACAAACGAGTAAGTGGAATGAAAAGGAAAGTAGAATGAGTCGTTGTCATCACAGAGAGAAAGGCTGAAAATAAATGAATGCATGACTCAACAACAAAAACAACCACAGCCGCCACCACAAACTTTTCAGTCCGCAGTGTTAGCATGGAGTGGTCACGGTCAGAAGCACAATGCTTGCCCCCTCTGTCACAAGCTGTACATCCGACCATGTAAAGAACTAATTATATTACAGAGGTCGTATTTAGATGTCAATTACCACAGTATTTTAAAATAATAGCTATGGATAACATTTTATTTGACTTTATTAGAATTTGCCTTATTATTTTTGAGTCACTGACCAGCTGTTTTGAATGGATCTGTTAATTCATTAAAATGTCTGGTGATTTCAGTTAAAAATGAAAAAGGATCAAGTTGCTGTAGACTTTTAGATCTAGGACTGAATATATTCTAGATGAGTGCTCTAGTTGGGCAAGTAAATCATCTAATCCAGATTGTTTTTACTTTTAAAGATAGCTCAAAACAATATTCTTGAATAATTCATTTCATTATTTGATTGCCCCAATAGTATGGAATGTCTAGGAGAAAAAAAAAAAAATGCATGGCAACACTATGGTTGCATAAACTTTGGAGCTTTTCCCAAATGGCTGTATAGTATCACTGTGATGTTTGGTACATAGAATGTTTTGCTGCAAATTTCAGCCATGTTTTCTTGTATTTTAAAAGTCGATAGCACAACTGTCACCTACCTGAAAATGTTGGTGATTTACAACTATATACATTAGGCAAAAGATTCCCTGAATATATTTGCCACTATCTGTATATTTAGAAAATCAGAATTTCTTTGAAAGTTTTGGGATTAATTACTTTAAAAGGCACCTTTGATGATACTTTTTATCAAGCATATTTGGGAAACATCAAATAAACCATTAATTATGGTTGTCGTCGTTGGTGGGTGTTATCTCCAAAACTTTACCCAGATAATGTATGTATAGAAGTTCTAGTTCTTATCAAAAGCAAGTTTAAATGGTAGAAAGACTATTTAAGCTAATGGTCCAGATTTCAAATAACTGAATCTTAACACTAATTAACCATGTTTAAGTGAACTCTTTTTTGAAATTTGTATTACACACTTTCCTTGGTACTTGGGATAAATTACTATGTTGTTAAATGTATATAGTTTTCCTTTACTCTTTATAGAGCTTTACTTCTTGATTATATATTATTGTATTACATTTGAATTGTGCATCAGCAATAATACTGAAAAGAAGCTGTGCCCTTTAAAAACTGCCACACAAGGAGTATCTCACCTGAAAATCAAGTATGTAACTTTAAAATCTATTTTTCACCATCATCAGACTACTAGCTAGTTAAAATATTGCCAATGAAATAGCTACTCATAAAAATCAAAGTAAAAGCCACTAGTTTCCTCTACTGGCATCCCAATATAAAGTCTTGCAATCTTCAAACTATTCTCTCTGGTATTAATAAGTAGAGAGTTCTTTGCTTTTTGGTTTTTTGCTCCTGAAAAACTCAGATAAGTGATCACTTGTGCCTGATATTTTCAGTGTACAAAATACTTTGTAGTCTGTTTGGAAGATTAACTCTTTCATAACCAGTACATGCTGTTTATCAAAAGTGACCATTACATAGTGCAAACTGATCCCTGGGCAGTAACCCTGAATATGTGCTGCCTTATTCAAGGAAGCAAACTTTTAAAAATGAAATCTACTAAGTTGTGTTAATCAGTTATAAACCCATGTTAAGGTAAACCTCTTTAATATGTCAGAACTTTTTATTTATCAATGTAAATAGTTTCTCCAGGCTTCCTTCTGTTTATTGGAGTACTAGTGGTGATGTAGGGGTTAACACATAATAAAGTGACAGCATGATTTTGATTGGCACATTTACAAATGTTATGAATATTTACCCTTGTCCATAGCTGGGGTTTCACTGCCGATGTTAGAGGTTTTGTGAGGCCAAACACAGCACATATGTTATAGCAGGGAGAAAATATTCTTTTTCACACGTGCTCACTGGGATCTGAGGCAAAGTCTGGCTAGGCAAAGTCTCTACAAGGCCATTCGATGTGGAATAAGGGTAAATATCTGTTGTGACGTTTTCTAAAATCATATGCAATTCCTAGCATTTTTGTCATTTGAGTACCTTCACTAACATCCAGTTGGAGTGTACAGACAGAAGAATTTGACCATTCTAATTTACATAAATCATCTGACTGTTACCACTGGAGAGCTTGCTTCAGTTTATTCTATTATGGAAAATTGAAATGACGTAGGATTATTTTTTGCCTTTAGTGAATGCAGCTTTTAAAACATATGTTATTGTATTTATTGTGGCTGTTGAAATAAATTAGTTTGGGACATATCACCTACACTGTATTAGATAGGGTTTGCAGTCATGTAAAATAGGATTATCATTTGTTTAAAATTAAAGAGCTAATAGGTACTGTTGATTGGGGGAAGGAATAATTTCAGTTTGCTTCATCGTGTGTTTCCTTCCCAAATAGGTGTGTGTACAAGGGGGGACCCAGAAAACCTGGAGTCATCTTGTGGAGGGCAGGCCCCTTATCACCCAGACTTCCCCCACTAGGTAATTGTTCCAGGAACCCGTTGGCATCAGTGTACCAGCTAGTGTTGTTAGGAGAGGCTGCATTTGGCTTCAGTGATTTTTTTCTTGTGTGGCAGACAGGTGACTGTTTTTTCCACCATGACAGCTCACCTGCCCACACTGCGCCGAGTGTTTGCAGCTTTGGCCCCAAACGGTATGACCCCCGTGCCCCGCCCTCCCTCTTCACCCAGGCTCGCCCCAGATGACTTTTTTTTGTTGTTTCCCTGGGTGAGAAAAGGCAAACATTTTGCTGACGTGGAAGACATGAAACAAAAAAGCGGCAGAAGCACTAAAAGGCATCAAAATTGAGTTCAAAAACCGTGTTAAGCAGTGGCAAATAGCCTTGATGGGTGTATTGCATCAGATGGAGAGTATTTTGAAGGTGACTGATGTCTAAACATGTAAGAATAAATATGCCGTTTTTAATGAACAAATTCCAGTTTTTTGGAGTCCCTCCTCATATGTATAAATCATTGACATGCATAAACTTGACATATTTCTCTGACAAGGTAGCAAAACTGCTTGTTTTTAAATATTCTGGGAGGTGATTTGACAGGATAATCAGTCTTTGATATTAAATCTATAATTGCTTAGTGATTAAGAACATTCAACCTGAATGTTAGGTAATGAATAATAATTTTGACTATTTTGGGACTGCCTCTGATGCATCACCAAATATTTCATTGTGAATAGACACACACGTTTGGAATATAAAAGACACTTTTCAGCCAGTTTAAATGACTGAGTTATCCCGTGGAATTACCTGAGCATAATTTTCTTTAAGCAGTTTTTTCTCTTTAAACCCTAATTTTCAAAATTTCTTGTTCCACCCCTTCACTTTTATCTACTTTTATGCTTGAAAATAAAGCATTTCCATTCAAGAACGTATTGTGTACAGTGCAAAAAGTCCTTAATTCGCTACAGTGGAAGCACCCACTTTGCTATACTGATTACAGGTTTTTGGAAATCCATGACTGTGTGTTGGCAAAAATTTAGAGAATCAAGGAAAATGATTTTAGTTGTGTTCAGTGTTAATATTGCCGATAAGTGAGTACTTATTTTACCAAAGGTCTTTTAAAGGAGCAAAAATTGATTTAAACTAACTTTGTAAAATACACGAAAGGCCACAAAGGAGAGAGATTTCACCAAAGTCTTAGTATATATAGCATAAGAATAATAAGCATGGTAAACCATTTAATAACACATTGAACGAGTGCCAAGAAAGTGCCCTGGCAATGACATTGTTTAGAGAGTTGTGATGGAAGGTCTTGTGCTACCCAGTTCCTGAATGCTGGGACATGCCCTGACTGGGGTCACCTCAGACTTGTCTACCACCGGAAGAATGGAGTTAAGTGTACAATCACCTGTATTAAAGTGGTAAAGGCCGGGCTCGGTGGCCCAGCCTGTCATCCCGCTCCTTTGGGAGGCTGAGGTGAGTGGATTGCCTGAGCCCACGGGTTCGAGACCCGCCTGGGCAGCGAGACCTCATCTCTACAATAAATCAAGAAAAAAAAAATCAGCCAGGCGTGGTAGCACATGCCTGTAATTCCGGCTACTTGGAAGGCTGAGGCAGAAGGATCGCCGGAGCCCAGCGGGTCGAGGCTGCGGTGGCCAGGAGCGGCCACTGCACTCCAGCCTGGGTGATGGAGTGAGACTCCAACTCAAAAAAAAAAAGAATGAAATTACGTCCTCTGCAGCAATCATCCTATGTAACCAAAACCGAAAAGCAAACACTGCATATTCTCACTCAGTGTGGGAACCAAACAGTCACAAGAATGGAAATAATAGACACTGGGGACATCAGTGAGGGGCGAGGGAGGCTCGGGTTCAGAAACGACCTGTGGGGCACAGTGTTCCCTCTCAAGGGCATGAGTCACCTGAGACGCAATCCCCGCGGCAGCACAAGTTGTCCATGTGACAAACAGGCATGTGTACCCCCTGAATCTTAAAG